CAATTTCATCACATAGATACATAACAATATGTTTACTAATCAGTTGATGAACATTTGGGCTGATACAACTTTTATAAATAAAACTTTCCATCAGTGGAATAGATAGTCCATAAGAAGAAACTGGGTGACAATCTGGGTGGTAAAATAAATGAATGAAAAAGGACTTTTAAGGAGGAAATAAATAACTCTTACCACTACACCCTATTTAAAGGACTAATAGTTCAGAATCTGGCTGCAAATAAAACAGGTAAAGGGAAGCACAATTTACTTATGGTGAATCTTCTCCAGAGGAAGTCAGAAATCCCTGTTCCTAAGTGTGAATAGAAAAAAATCTGACAGGTGCTATGTGAAACTTAATGCTGTTTACATTCCCGGTAGTCTTTATTCTACCCTTGATTAGCTAAATGTCATAAATGTATTGGCCCCAAATGGGAGCTTTCTACTGCTTGTACTAAACAAAGAGGTTATATAGTAAAGAGAGAAATTAAAACCATATTCATTTTCAATTCTTTCTATGATTTTCATTTAAATAATGTACAATGGAAGATTCCTGAATTTGTGTGGAGAGGTCATGTAAACTTCTAGGGAGGTATCAATATTAATATGAGATTTTAAGATAAGAATTAACTTTTACTTCAGACAAGTAGGGTCTGCATAATTCAGATAGTGGAAGTATCAAGTTCAGTGCTACAGATGTGAAATATTTCGTTTGTTACAGATGCTTAAATATTACTGGAATCCATAAGGCAAATAGGCTACAAGCAGCAAAAATGTGATTAGATGTCAGCAAAGGCTTTCTGTACTTCACTTTCCCCATTTGTAAATATGAGAAAGTAACATTACTTCTTCATAGTGTTCACTATTGAACTTTAAATGAAGTAATATTTATAAGTTAAAACAGTATGTAAAAAATGTTAAGATAAGCATTTTTGTTAATAAAATCAGAATAATTTTTAAATCATATTCTATGGAGGATGCATTTTTCATGTAGTTAATAAATCCAGCATTTCTGTCCAGGAGAGTAATAAGCTGAGATTTGTTGTATATTAGGCAGTTTTACATTGATAGTTGCCTAGAATTCAACATTCTTCATTTCTCATTATCTACATACATTTTATTCATCATTAAATAATGCCATTTAAATTGCAAAAATGATAAACAATTTAAATTCATAATATCTAGTGTAAGGAAAATGCAGTCCAGTGCATAATACTAAAAGTGTGATAGGAGAGTAATGTAAGTAATTAAAATTAAATCATAATTTATGTACTACTTTTTAAATGTTTTAATATTAGCATACATTAAAATTAATGTATTTTTTCTCTAAGCATATCTCATTAAGATAATAACGAACTGTTAGTGATGTATATTGTACATTGATCCAGTAGATTGTTAGCATACAAATTAAATATGTATATAAAACACTGTTTAAAACAGTAACTATGGTGAAATTACAGTTTTGTTAGCCCTTTAAAATCTTGCCTCTTTCCTAGTGACTAAAGTAGTACTTGGTGTGTGTGCATGTCTGTGTGTGTGTGTGTGTGTGTGTGTGTATGTGTGTGTGTAAAAATGAATAAATGAATTAATATATGAATTAAGAAATAGTCTTGAAAGTTCCTAGCTTTTTAAATGGATTTTCAGTCATTTTATACCTTCAATGTAGAATGAGTTTGCTTTTCTTCAAAATATATATGAATTGCTAAAGATTACATTTCATTGGTCAATGCCAGTTACCAACTAATGAATCATTTTCTTTAAATATTTTATAAGGATAAAATAGAGTTGAATAAAGCCTTTCAATTAATCCAGAATTATTTTCTTTTTTCTATAAGATTAAGTTTTATTTTTTAAGAAGAACAGAATAGATTTTGCATTAGCATTTGGTTGTTTGCAGCCTCTGGGGAAGTAGGGATATCATTCCTGAGTACTAGTTTGGAAATAGAAAAGACTCTTTCTTGGATCCTGTTAAAATGTAGAGAGCTAAAATGTAAGAATTGCAGAATAATTAATGCATAGGATAAACTCCTCTTTGAAACAAAGTTAGAGAGCAGAAAAGTGTATTTTAGTGAAATTGGCTTTTAATGCCATCTGTTTTTCAAACTACTTTAAAATACACCTTTCAAGATCATGTTACAAATTGCAGTTCAAGTAATTTGCACTTAATTTTTCTCCCTTATTTTTCCCTGCTTTACATATTATTTAAAGTAAAATAAATTCTAATTTCAAATCCAAACTCCCAAATTTCTTTTCTGTAATATATATAAAAGTGTAATATATACTCATTTTATTTACTTCCAACTCACTTGATGCAAATGTGGTTTCTTTAAATTTTTAATGTTTATGAACCTCTGGGAACTGGATCTTTTTACTGGAATTTAGTAATATATCCTAAAGTTTGCTGATTAAAAAAATAAAATCAGTAGGATATGGATAGTTTGTTCCAACTTCCCTATGTCATTTTCAACCCCCATTTTATATTATCTCCTACCTGTGATAATGTTGACAAGTGATAGTAATGTTCTATTTCATTACTCCCCGACCATTTTTTTTTTTTTTTTTTTTTTTGCAGTCCAAAATACTACATACCCATCTACATGGATCTAGTATATATATGCTTTGAGCTTTTCACATAGCTGAATGTGGTTAAATTAAAAACAATAAAAACACTTTTTTTAATAGTATCTGAAGAATTTATTTTATATAATTTTCTGGAATCTCTAGGATTATGGCTCTACTCTGTGGAAACCAGATCTTTCTCATCAAAATAACATTTCCCTAAGGGAAAATAAATAGCCTTCCAAAACATGATTGACAGGGAGAAAGACAAAGATTATAGTGTAAGGCACAGAAAAGAGGAAAAAAGGGAGAAAGTTCTGCAAAGTGACATTAAAAACAAGGGTGAAAAACAAACCACTATACAAATTACAGGAAAAAAGATGAATAAGAAAGAGTGACAACTGATCTGTTTTTATTTGAATAAATAGGTTTGATTATGTGTGCAACATTTTTATACATTAAAAGAGATGAGATAATTACATATACTTTCTTTATATCCTTTTATATTTATGGATAATTCCTATTACTATTATGGGTATAATTCTTTCTAACATAGAAAATGTTATGTAATTTTTTGCTCTTTTTTATACTATTGATTTTTTAAACTACAGACAAGTTCAACGCATGTTTTAGCAACTTTTATTATATGCATACATGTTATATTTATCCCTTCATGATCTTGTACATAAGAAGTATGACTATAAAAAATGGAATATTTTGTTTCAATTTATTTTTACCTTGGAATTCCAATAGAAATATGAGAGTTTACCTTAGCTTAGAATCTCACCATCTCCTAGAATCCACTCAGATAAAACAAAAATATGAGAAGCAACTATATAATTTTTAGTGAAACAAAAAATTGAATATAAAATTTAAAAAGTCAAACCATGGTGAACCCCAAATAGCTGCTATTTAAGAACAGCAGTAGCTTAAAGTAGCATAGTATATATGCAGCCACTAGAGATAATTATGTTGGGAAGAATAGAGCAGAATTGTGACTTGAGCCACAACATATATTAGTTAGATGTCTTTTTCTCCATCCCTGTCCATAGGACCACCAGAAGCAATTTGCCTTCAGCTGTCATGGCCAGGAATACACCTTTACTCTTCTATCTTAGGGGTATATCAACTCTGTAGCTCTAAGTCATAGTCTTGTTCACAGAAATTTTTATCGCTTTTTCCTTCTGTAAGATACCACACTGGTCCATTACATCGGTGGCATTATGCTGATTGGACCTAGTAAGCAAGAAGTAGCAAACCATGCTGGACTTATTGTTGAGACATTGATGTGTCAGGAGATGGGAAGAAGCACAATGCCTAGTGGGTTCATTTGGATTTTGGAGACAGTATATTCCTCACCTGTGTGTGTTGCTCTGGCATATTTATTGAGTGGTTCAAAAAGCTACTAGTTGTGAGTGCAGGGGAAGACCCTGCAACAGGTCTAGGCTGCTGTGCAAGCTGCTGTGCCTCTTCGGCCACGTAACTCAGCATATCCGGTAGTACTTGATGTGCCAGTGGCAGATAGGGATGCTATTTGTAGCCTTTGGCAGATCCCCATAGATGAATCACAGTGGAGGCCTTCAGGATTTTGAAGCAAGGCCCTACCAACTTCTGCAGATAACTGCTCTCCTTTGGAAAGACAGCTGTTGGCCTGCTACTGGCTATAGCAGAAAATGAACATTTGCCTATGAGTTACCAAGTTACCAGGCAATGTAAACTGCCTTTTATGAACTGGGTGCTTTCTGACTCAGCTAGCCATAAAACAGGGCATGCACAGAAACATTCCATCTTTAAATGGAACCACATATGTGATCAGGCTTGAGGAGGTGCCGAAGGTACAAATTCTACTTCTTACATAGGAAGTAGCCCAAATGCCCATGCTCCTCATCCCTGCTACCCTGCCTTTTCGCCCTGCACCTATGGCTCATTGGGAGTTCCCTGTTATCAGTTGACAAAGGAAGAGAAGACTAGGGTCTGTTTTACAGATGGCTCTGCATTACATGCAGGCACTGCCTGAAAGTGGATAGCTGTAGCACTACAGATCCTTTCTGGGACATTCTTGGAGACAGTGGTGAAGAAAAATCTTCCCAGAGGGTAAAACATCCAGCACTGCACCTTGTTATGCACTTCGATTGGAAGGAGAAAAGGCCAGAGGTATGATTATCTACTGGTTCTTGAGCTATAGCCAACAGTTTGGCTGAATGTTCAGGGACTTAGAAAGAGCATGATTGAAAAATTGGTAATAAAGAAATGTGGGGAAGAGGAATATGAATGAACCTCTGTGAGTAGTCAAAAATAACAAAGATATTTGTGTCTCATATGAATGTTCACTAAAGGGTGACCTCAGCAGAGGATTTTAGCAATCAAATGGATAGGATAACTCATCCTGTAGACACCATTCAGCCTCTTCAGTCACATCTATCATTGCTCAATGGGCTCATGAGCAAAATGGCATGGTAGAATTTATGCATGGGCTTAGCAACATGAAGATCTACTCACTAAGGCTGGCCTGGCTACAGCCACTGCTGAGTGCCCAATCTGCCAGCAGCAGAGACCAACACTGAGACACAGATACAGCACCATTCCTCAGGGTGATCAACCAGCTACCTGGTGGCAGGTTGATTACATTGGACCACTTCCATTATGGAAGGGGCAGCAGTTTATCTTACTGAATAAACACTTCCTTTCGATATAGATAGGTTTTTCCCACATGTAATGCTTTTGCCAAGAGGTGGTTACTAAAGGCAAAGGAAATATAGAATGGATAGTAGAAGAAGGTGGTTATCAAATACCAGCTGCAACCATGTGGCTAATTACAGAAATGAGGACTGTAATTTTTATGAGTATTTTCCCCTTATTTTGTTAAGAATAAATTTGTGCATATACACATCTGTATTAAGCAAATATCATTTTATTACCTTTTATTTTTATTATGTAAAAAAATTATTGACTTCAAATCAGAATTTAATTATTGTTAATTTTGTGTAATTATATTTAGGCTAGTGTGTTTTTGGTTCTATGAAGGTAGTTTTATCTTCTTTTTATTTTTTCTATGTTTTTATTTTCCTTTTTGTTTTTTTATTTTTTTCATTTTTTTTTCCTTTTTTTAGAGTTTTATTATCTTAAGCAGAATTATGACCTTGTTATTGTCTTTATTTGGAAATTATGTGATTTAAGAAAATGAGTATGGTGCCAAACTGACAAGGGGTGGACTTGTGATAGTTAATATTAGATGTCGATTTGACTGGATTGAGGGAGGCCTTGATGAGTTGTAAGCACTGTTTCTGAATGTGTCGGTGAGGGTGTTGACAGAGGAGACTGATATTTGAGTCAGAAGAATGGGAGAGGAAGACCCATCCTCTATATTGTTTGGCACCATCCAATAGGCTATCAGTGTGCTAGAACAAAGCAGGAGGAAGAACCTGGCTTGCTGAGTCTTCTGGCTCTCTCTCTCTTTTTTCATGCTGAGTGTTTGCTGCTGTCCTCCTTCTCATGTTATTTGGCCTTTGGACTCTGGGACTTTCTTCAGGAGCCTCCTGGGGGCCCTTAGGCCTTTGGCTTCAGATTGGCTGCACTGTTGGTTTCCCTAATTTTGAGGCTTTTGGGCTTGGACTGTGCCATGCTACTGGCTTCTCTCTTTTTCCAACTTGCATATACACATATCCTATTGGTTCTGTCCCTCTGGAGAACCCTGACTAATGCAAACTGCAAATAGCTGGTGTTTAAGAACAGCAGTAGCTTAAAATAGCAGAATTTTATATGCAGACACTGTAGAAAATTCTAATAGGAAGAATAGAGAATGGTGATTTAGAGTTATGATTAGATATAGGTAACTGATTAAATCTGATTAAAACTGATTAAATAATTAGAGTTAGGTAACTAAAATACCCTGGAAATAGACCTTTCCAGAAGTCACAACCTATAGTGAAAATTACTTTGATCAGATATACAATTAAATTACATGCAAGCCTTTGGGGAAATTAGGAAAGAAGGGATATAAGGTACTGCGGAGTGCCCAGAAGTGGTTAAACTCAAGAATATTGGTAAAATGCACTTTCCAAAAGTGAGAGGATCATTTTAGAGGCTAGAAATTGGTAGGAGCTAGGAAAACAAAGATATAGTTCAGGCCATATGAGGTAAGTCATTTAGAACGAGGTTAGATTTCTACAGGCGTAAGAGGTATGGCCAGGTAGAGGTACATTGCGTGTGTGAATGTATATACACATATGTTTGTATATGTCTATAACTATATGTATGCATGCATCAGAGTAGCTACAGTGGTGGGAGTTCTTGAGTTAAAGAGGCTAGAAAGCAATGCTGGACCACTTTTCAGAAAAGGATAACATACATGAAAGGCTAGAAAGCAATGCTGGACCACTTTTCAGAAAAGGATAACATACATGAAAGTGACTCTGTAAGGAGCAGAAACAAAGAAAACACCAAGCAAAGGGCATAATTGGAAGAATATTTAACCCAAATTTCATGATGAAATGAAAACCAACAACCTTAATAAGCTCCATTTTATATTTACATATGTTTTATTGGTAAAACACACATATAAATTCAAGGACACAGCCAAACAAGTAGGGGTGCCACACATAGGAAATAGTAGACCTTATAAATGAGCACTAGATTAAAAGGCACACAGAGCAAATAGACACCAGACAAAGCACAATAAGAGTCACAGAGGATAAAATTAAGAAAAAGAAAGAAAATAAGGCAAAATTAAGGAGATGCTTCAAAATCATTTAAAATGTCAAATGATTCCAGCATAGAAAACATACTGTAATCATAGTTGGAGTCCCTAAAAAATAAAATCAAAGATACGGTCACCTTGTTTTGTGTTGTTTTGTTCTTGGTCAGGTTTTTGGAATCTATTTGAAGCAAAATCTGCCCACTTTTAAAATATATAATCTGAGCCTTAACAAATATATACAGTTTTTGAACCTACATGAAAATCATAATTTATGCAAGTCCTGTCACCCGCAATTAACTCATGACCCCTTGGTGTCAATATCCTCCCGAATTCCCAGATCCTTGCAAATACTCATCTATTTTTAATCACTATAAAACTTGCCTGTTTCAGAGGTCATATAAATAGAACGTTATTGCATGTGGATTTTAGAATCTGGATTCTTTCACTTAGCATAATGCTTTGAAATTCATTTATGCTGGATGCCTGTATTTTTAGTTCATTCTTTTTTTAAAATTGCTAATTTGAGTTCCATTGTAAGGCTGTATTATTGTTTCTCCACTCACTAGATGAATAATATTTGGGTTATTTTCTGTTTTAATTATTTAGAAAACCTGTATCTTCATTAGTATACATGTTTTTCTGTTAACATAGGTTTTCATTTTTCTTCAAGAAATAGGTATTTCTTGAATGAGATAGGTGATTACATTTAACCTAGTAAAACTCTAATAAAAGAGAGAAAAATTGATAGCCAGGATACACAAAGAACCCTCACAAATCAGTATAAGTAAACAATTCAAAATTTTAATTAGGCAAATAATATGACTAGAGTTTTCAGCAAATAATGTATGTGTGTATATATATGTATGTATGTATGTGTATATATATGTGTATATGAATGTATGTATGGGTGCTCAACATCATTACTTACTAAAGAAGTGCAAAGTAGAACAAAATGCCATTATACACATCTATTAGAATATATAAAATTAAAAAGACTGAGAATATTAAATGCTTATGAGGAAGTAAACCACCTGAACTCCCATCCACCGATGCTTGAGTTACAAAATGGCACAGTCCCTTCAGAAAACCGTTTGGCAGTTTCTTCTAAAATTAAATATATACTTATTATATACCTATTGTGATTCAATTGATTGTACAACCATATAATTTAGAAATTTAAACAAAGCACCATTTATTATAGAATTAAACACAGTAAATGTGAGAAAGAAATCTGACAAAATTATAAAAGCTACATTGATGTGATAAATACATACTTTGTGAAATTTTTATGGTTAGAAACTCTTATGAAGTTGCCAGTTTCTCCCAAGTTGATCTAAAGTTTCTGTGCAACTCCTACTACTATACCTGAAGACGTTTTCTAGGCCCTAGAATATGAAATTTAAATTTGACTCAAGATAAGCTAAAATACATCTGAGGGTGAGTAGTTGTTTGGAGATACTGCCCTATCACAGATCAAGACTTACTAAAATATTATAGAATTGTAAACAATGTGTAGTCACACACAGAAGACAGATCTATCAGATTAGTAGAGTAGAGAACCAATCAAACATATTTACACATAAAAAATGTATTTATGACAAATATATTACAGTTTATTAGGCAAAGAGTTGAATATTCAGAAAATAATGCTAGGATAATTAGCTGGCCTTGTAGAAGATCTTGCCTGAAAACTAAACAAAAACAAATGTTTAGATTGATTAAAAATTAAAATTAAAAGCCAAAAATGTAAAGCTCTTAATAGATTATAAGGAGGAATAAACTTATTAACTACAAGATGGAACAATTATTTAAATAAGAAAATATATAATCTATAAATTAAAGGATTTAAAAATTTATCTACTTTGAAATCAGTAAGTTTGCTCATCAGAGACCACCTAAATGATGATACAAGGCAAATTACAATTTAGAAAAAAACTTTAAGACATAAGTAGACTAAATTCATAAATATCTCCTATGAGTCAAAACAGGATTTGTACAGAAAAAAAGATTTATATAAAGTGCCTATTGAAAAGAGAATAAGTAAATTGTGATAGTTTAATGAAGTGAAATTCTATGTACAAATTTTCTTTTAAATAAATACATATATATATAAAAAATTGCATTTTAGGTTCTGGGATACATGTAAAGAACGTGCCGGATTGTTACATAGGTACATACATGGCAATGTGGTTTGCTGCCTCCATCCCCATCACCTATACCTGGCATTTCACCCCATGTTATCCCTCCCCAAATCTCTACCCCTTACTGTCTCCCCTAGTTCCCCCCGACAGACCTTAGTGTGTGATGCTCCACACCCTGTGTATATGTGTTTTCATCATTCAACACCTGCCTATGAGTGAGAACATATGGTGTTGGATTTTCTGTTCCTGTGTCAGTTTGCTGAGAATGATGGTTTCCAGCTTTATCCATGTCTTTACAAAGGACATGATCTCTTCATGTTTTATGGCTGCATAGTATTCCATACTGTATGTGTGCCACATTTTCCCTGTCCAGTCTATCATCGATGGACATTTGGGTTGGTTCCAAGTCTTTGCTATTGTAAACAGTGTTGCAATGAACATACATTTGCATGTGTCCTTATAAGAGAATGATTTATAATCCTTCGGCTATATATCCAGTAATGGGATTGCTGGATGAAATGGAATTTCTATTTCTAGGTCATTGAGGAATCATCACACTGTCTTCCACAATAGTTGAACCAATTTACACTCCCACCAACAGTGTAAAAGTGTTCCTATTTCT